CGTGACCATTGTACTGCTTACTTAAAGACTTTTTATAAACTGTACAAATACGAAAAAACGTATATTGTCTATCGTCAAAATTAAGGGGGATAAATCCGATGAGAAAAAAACGGGGTAGAATGTCGGGCCTTCGGTTCGGCCCCCCCCCCCCCCCCCCCCCAATGATTTACAAGAATCTGGTCACACCTGGTCACCGAGGAGAGGATGGAGATTGAATGGAAGCCGATCAGCGTTGGTGTAGTTGATGAACGGTTGTCTTGATCGTTGATATACCGGACACACCAGGAGAAAGTGATTTGTTGTGAATAAGATGCTGCAGTGATATCGTGGAGGAGAAATGCGTTCGAAGAGGTGACAGTAGGTGATTTTGGTGTGGCCGATGCGAAGCCTGGCAATGCAGCATTTTCTTGAGGCGATTATCTCGATAAACTGCCGGCCGGTGCTGTAGTATGGGTTTGATTGGGTGAAGGTGGTGATGAGCGCGTTGGTCCTAATCAGAATGAAGAAAGGAACGGAAATATGACCTGATGACTGCAAGAATGCCTGAAACGGGACAAGAAAGATGATTACGTTCCGGCTACATAAGAGTTTGTTAAATTTCGTCATCAGAAATGTTGTTTCCACGAATATTAGCGCATGTAGGTAACCAGATAAACATCACGTGAGTTTGTTGAGGAAGGGGCGGCACGTTAGACTATATTGTTTATTATTGAATGGGATGCCTTATGAAGCGTGCTGAGAGCTTGTAGCGAAGAATGTCAGTCCATACACATTTGGACGTTAACTCGCTTGATGTGTAGCAGGGGCTACCAGGATTGCTGTTAGTTTAGGCCGCATACACATTACGCAGTGCCATGCTTTGACAGGCGCTTGGACTTACGGTGAAAATGATGTACGAAGGCGGCCCCTGTGCGACCATCGCGTCGGGAGCCGTCAGTATATATAAAGGTGTGCTGGTCATGTTCCTCTTTGAAGTATGCGAAGAGCGCATGCACTTCGGTTTCTGATAAGCTTTGCTAGTTGTGTTTGAACAGAAAGATCGCGTTCGGTGTAGGGTCGTTCCAAAACGGTCGCGGGCTGGAAGTTGGGCTGCAGGGAAGGTGTGGGAGATGAAGTGCTCATCGCGCTCGAATAACGCGGGTGCTGATGGTTGGGCACTGAATTTCCACGTTGGTAAAGCCACGTTCGACCTGTCGTCAGCACGTTTGTCAACACCTATCACAGCCCAGTTTCGCTCTACGCCACGTCACGTGACCACAAAGTCACGTGGTCTGTAACGCCACGCGCCGGCTGGCGATGATGCCAGGATTTTTTGTCACCCCCTCATCATGGAGAGAACGCGCTACCGGATTAAAAAATCACTTTGACAAGAAGTGATAGTTTGATTTTTATGGTAACTCTTGTGTTGGCGTTTGTGAGAACGCTTCTTGTGAGAGCGTTTGGTGGGTGGTGGGGGTGGGGGCACTTCTCTCTAATTTTGGGGAAATGCAACAAAGAATAGATTGACGGGAATTGAGATGCCAACAATAGCCATGAAAAGGTAAGTGGCAGTGATTGGTGTGGTGTGTGGTTGCGTTCCCCAATAAATTAATACCATTATTAGTGAGTACTTAGAAATGAAAAGGGAAGACATCGAAATGGATTGAGAATGGAAAGAAGTACTCAATTTGCGGATGAGAAAGATGATAGCAAAAGCGGAGCTTGAGCCGCATTGCCAAACACCACTTTATAGGTTGTGTGTCATGGTCGGCGGTAAGCCACAGTTAGTGTGTGGTCTGAAGTAGCTAAAAGGTAAGGGAAAAGGGAAAGCTTAGTTTAAAAACTTTCCCGTCAACCCACACATGGAACGCTCCTCCAGCACGCATGGCGTCAGCGCATTGCAGGTGACAACTGTGCTGACGGTGGATCGAACGGGGCCCAGGATTTTCTGTCGGTCAGTCTGCATAGAAAGAAAACGCTACCAGATTGGAAAATCACCCCGACAAAGAAGCGGGGGCTTGATCTGGGCCGTTTGATCTGTTGTCGGCATGTTCGTCAGCACCAATCACGGCCCAGTATTCGCCCTACATTACGTCACATGACCACGAAGTCGCGTGGACTTTTACATTACACGCCTGCTGACGATGGTGCCAGGATCTTTTGTCAGCCTGAAAGCATGGAAAGAAAGCGTCACCAGATAAAAATCCTCTGACTGAAGCGGGGCCCCATTCAATCTGTCGTCAGCACGATTGTCAGCTGGAATGTGTGACGTCATGCTTGCTGACGTTGCGCTTCGATGCGAGGGCTGACGGGAAAGTTTTTAACTTTACTTTCTCTTCTTCCCTTCATTTGAATGGAGGGTCCCGCACACTTGTCGGGGCCCCATCTATTAATATGCTCCGGCACACTGAATTGTTTAGGGGCCATGCACCTTGGGTGTTTTAATGTAGGGCCCTACGCCCTTGTCAGAGTCATCTGATAACCTGCTCGGATACGCTCGAGCTTTTGGAGGCCCTCCACACTAGGTCCTGGACACGTTTTATTTGGATTGCGGGCCCTACGCTCTTGACAGGGGACCTATCTGATACCCTGCTCCGGCACATTCGATCGTTCGGGGCCCCTCTACATCGGGTTGTGGGTGCGTCCTATTTGAACGGGGGGCCTACGCACTTGTCGGGGCCCCCTCTCTTCGCCTCGCTGTTCGGCCACACTGAATTGTTCGGCGGCCCTGCACAATGAGTCTTGGTGTTGGAATTTAGGGCCCTACGCTCCTATCGGGCCGTCTGAAAGTCTGCTAGGGAACGCTCCATCTTTCGGAGGTCCTCGGGTTTTCGGTACTTCTTATTTGAGTGTAGGGCCATACAATCTTGCTGTAGCCCCTTGTGATAAGCTGCTCCGGCACATTCGACTGTTGGGTGACCTCTATGTCGGGCCTTGGGTACTTTCTATTTGAATGGATGGTCCTGTGCTCTTGACGGGGGGGGGGGGGGGGGCTATCTGTTAGCATGCTCTAGCGTCCTCGATCATTCGGGAGCTCTCTACATCGTGTGGTGGGTATTTCATATTCGAACGGAAGACTCTACGCTTTTATCGGCGGCCCCATCTGTTAACCTACTCGGGCACACTAGATTGTTTGGGGGCCCTCCACATTGTGTCTTGGGGACCTCCTATTTGAATGAATGGCCTTACGCTTTTGTTGGGGGCCCCATCTGTTCACTTCCTTTGAATTTAGGGTCCTGCGCTCCTGTCGGGGGCCGTCTGATACATGATCTGCTCGGGTACACTTCATCTTTCGGGGATTCTCCGCACTGGGTTTCGGGTGCTTATCACTTGAATGAGGGCCTCACGCTCTTGTCAGGCTCCTCCTGATAAGTTGCTGGGTGCATTTATCGTTCGGGAGCCATTTATACTGGGTCTTGAGTGTCCAGAGACATACTGTTGCCCGGACCCTATTTGTCCACTTGCCGGGGTCAGTCTGTTCGCTAAGGAGCTTTCCACGTTGCCGTTGATCTATTTGTGTTCATTCCCGTAGGGCCCAATGCTGCTGTTGGGACGCCGCCTGCTTCCATGCCTGATCACTCTTGATCGATCAGGTGTTCCTCCACAGATTTTTCCCACTCTCCCGAAAGGCTCTGTACGCTTTTTCCGGGGCCTCATATGCCAGGATACGCTCAGTTGCTCAGAGGCCCATCATATTAGTATCGGGTTTTTCACCTGCGCGGGGGCCTTGTGTTGTTGCTGTAGCTCACATATGGTAAGGCACCGAGACACTCGATGTTCAGGGGCTCTTCACTTTGATTTAGGGTCTTTCCCTATGGCCTCATTTTCGGAGGACTCTTCACTCCTGTCAATGCTTTTACTGTGAATCTGCCCAAGCACTCTTGATCACACAAGGGTATTTATTCATGGCATTGGATAATTCTCGTTTGTTCAGAGGGTCCTGTGCTCTGGCCAGGGCCTTAAATGTCAGCCTGTCTGGGCACTACCTGTCGCTCAGGGGCACACCACGTTGGCTTTAGTTTTTTACTTGCTCTGAGGACCCTACACCTGTTGACGGGAACCTGTTTGTTTGCCTCCTGCGCCACCCATGATCACTCAGCCGTCGCCCCTATTGGCATTTGTACCTCAGCCTTAAAACAGCAGTCGGATATACGCCAATTAACTTTTACGCGAAACAGTCGAAGACAATTTTACATGCCGCCGACGTCGTACGTGTCATTTCCCTTGGCTATTGAGCGTGTGACTTATTATACTTGTGCATCACGTTCTGAACATATTTTGAATGTAAGGATATTCTGCACTCCCTTGTAACAAAGGAAAAATTCTACGTTAGTCATCAGCCATCAGCTGATTACATCGCCCAGCCGGCTAGTCGCAAATAAGCTAGAAATATAGTTCATTTTTGGTTTTGATAGGATTTAGCAGCCACCTTGAGTTTGTTTTGTTTGTTTTGTGGAAAAGTTAGTTTCAAAATCACAGGATTTAACGAGACCTGTAGAAAATGAGTGAGTTCCATGTAAGTGCATACGTAGTACGCCTGGTTTTACAGGGCCGCGCACAGTAAGTTGAGTTCCCGTCTTACATGTATATATATATATATATATATATATATATATATATATATATATATATATATATATATATATATACGTTACGTTACGTATACCTTAGGATTTTTTTAGAGGGATCCCAAACCTAAGGGGGCCCAACAGTGTTTCATGGCCACCCTTTTTGACGATATCCTGGATCCACCGCTGGTCGATATACAGCGCCCAAACGATGTGGAGGTCATCATTTATGTGAAAGCGACCTTTTGAATATTAAGCACACTAGATCGGGTTGGATTTTGGTAAAAGATAATTAGTTCTCCAAAATTTATGCGACAACTTCGTGTTTCCTTTGCGTACTACTCATTTCATGAGCGCCTGCGTCCTGTGGAAAATTATAGTTATCACGGTAAAAGTTTCCTTTGCTCCGAACAGCCAGATTTATTTCCGCGGCTAGAGCGTCACTACACATATCAAAGTTCCTTGATTACCGCGCGGCGTTACTTCCGATGCTTCTGGTGACTGACCATCGCACTTGGATTTGACTACTATTTTGTGTGTGAGTGTTGTGTGTGAGATACTGGTACCATCCACTGTATCCATTTCGTTGGTACCCATTTGTGCCCCGAAGAGAGGTTCATATGTTACCGCTGATGGATCTACTTAAATCCTTCGTATCAGACTAAGGTTCCTTAAGCCCGAGGCGGTGTGAGGCTAAAGCCCCAATAGCCATGCTTATATTTATTTTGCTCAAATATTTTACCTGATTTTGGAGAAATAAAAACAAACGAGTATGTGTGTCACTAGGTCTGTTCCTGCCTCTCTTCTGATCATGAGCCTGCTCCTGTCTCCTCTTCTAACGTCCTCAAAACTCTCCAAACTAATCTGACCATCCTCTGCTCCTCCAGGCTTCTCAAAGCTTGCCCTGGACCTCCCTAACTCTACTGTGAATTTTTTAAGGAGGTTGTAGACAAGTGGTGGAGTATATTTCTATCTGTATTTGTCATTTCTTAAAAGTAAAGAATAGGTATATTTGTTGGTCCAGGCAGATGATATTTGAAATCTGTACTTTGAAGATGACATTGGTATTATGTGCATTTATTGGTTTGAATATTTTTTTCAGTGAACTTAGCATTCACATTTGTTTGCTGTCAGCATGCCAAAATGGTTTGCTTAAGCTACTGTACACAGCTGAAAATTGTGTGTTGACTGCAGGTACTTCCTCTAAAATTTTGTGATTGACAGCATATTTGATGCAGTTAGCACTCCTTAAAACTTCTTCATCAGGCATCATATTATCATAATCACATCTTTTCTAGAGGAAGGATGAAAACAGACTTGTGCTGTATCCTCTTCAAAGCTTCTCTGACATTTTTCCAGTAGTTTCTCTGACATCCGCCAAGTTCCTCAAAGCTGGTCGCTTAACTTCAACCTCATCAGACCAAAAGGTTTATTTTCTGAGGGGCTTTGAGGGGTTTGTGGCATATATAAATGCCACAATTAGTTCATTCTCTTTTTTGTTCCATTTGTTCTCACATAACAAACAAAGGACTGGTGTGTAGATTGCTGCACATATATTATTTTCTCATTGGGGGAGGGGCAATATAAACAGAATCATTGGCTCTTCCACCAGGAGACAGTGGAGCACTTTCCTCCAAATTTAGTGATTTTGGGCATTTTACTCATGGTTGCAATGGATGGCATTCAGTCTGCAAATAATCCATTCACTGTGCTGAATGCCTTGGTAACATCGCTGTGCTGAAACATGCTCGTGTGTGCACTGTTCTCTGGTGAAGCTGAATTGGACAGAATTTCAGAATTATATTTTTTTAGAATTTCTGCATGAAATAACATTCACAGTACAATAATTCCTTCACACATCGGGTCTATACATGCTGAAATTTGTGATGCTCAGGCACCAAACCCTAAGCAGTCAGATTTACTGTGTTGTAGATATGCTGAAATTTTGGCTCTAATGCTGCTGCCATGCCAGATATTCTCAGCATGTCATGCTGTCTGGGATGGCATGCATAGGAATCAAATGTCTCACAAACCTTTCACCCTTGTTTGAGTCACTGGTGTGGTCCCCGCACTAGTTTTGTGTTATCAGAGAGCTCAACTGTCAGTAATGTCATGTGTCATGGTGCCTTGGTCAGTAAACAAAGACAGGATTTAACATTATATTTGTTCATTTTTATGATCTTTTAAATTGTATATATCATAGAATACATATGATATGCTCAACAGTGAAATGCCATAATTTTTACTCCAACATTTTGATGAGCTGCTGGACATCGCAAGTTGTGCATGACCTATATCCTAACAACACTTTGTCAAAATCAACCAGGGTTTGTTGGCTAGTGTACATAATGTTCAGTAGTTCAGCATGGCTGCAAAAAATGTATGCTTTACCAATATTTATGTTGCGGTGGTCAATTTGGGTCCAAAATTTTGGTATCAGTTGGCCAAAAACTCAGTGAGAACTCACTGCAGCTCAGAGTGTCCCAAGTTTGCATTGTTTCAATATTTAGTCACTTGGTTGGCAGGGTAGTTGACATTTATTCATGCTATTGCACATTCAGCTTGAGGTCCACTGCTAGGTACACCTTTTCCTTCTCGAAATTGGCCTATCAGCATCAAGTTTGTTTGAGCAGCACCAAACAGCATGTAAGCTCCTCTAGCCTGAGAGATGGGCCAGACAGGTGGGATGTTTGGGTTTGGGGTCAAGGGTACTAGATAGGCAACAACACATTGTGGTTGGCAAGCTGCCAGAGGGTCCGGATGCTGGTAGCATGTGTTTATATTTACATCTTGCATGCCCTACTGGATGAGTTTGAATTCTATAAGTTTGGCACGCAGTCTCCACTGATTTCAGTGGGGTGGAAAGGTTGTAATAATGTTGTAAATTATTTCCCCTGTTTTTTAAGCTCACTGATATGATGTACAGTGGCTGCATACAGATAGAACATGTCTCACTTCCTTATCTCACCAGTCTTAGCAGAGTGTACAACCCATTGCATTCCTTTCCTGTCCACAGATTTCTCCACTTTCTTCTGTTGGATTCATTAAAAGGCTGATCAAAGGCTGTTCATGGTAAGAGTGGTGTTTATTGCATTATCAGATAGTTTGTTTACAGTGCATTGTTGCTTTGTTTCTGTCCAATTATAGCTTTTCCCTGTCACCTGCTCATGTGCGTAGAAGGAGGGGTAAGTCAGCGTGATGTGAAGGACTGTGCAAAATAATGTTTGAACAGCACTTGCATAGCTGTAGGCAGTTGAATAGCAGATCATTGGGTTTATGATTATTCTACCATTATTATTATTACTGTATATTATCATAAGCAATAAAATAATTGAATTTAGGATTGCAACAAATTACATTGACCTGGGATAAGCAGGTCAGACTGAGGTCAAAACACCAACCTGCTTTTTACTGGGGAACTCACCTTGTAGATTAATTGCCAGTGCTGATTTTGAACTTCTTGATAACAGGGACAGCAACAAACACTCTATGGGTTTGTTAAAGTTCAGAGTAGGTCCCTGAGCTAAAATTACCCTGATTGCCCTTAGTTTTGGAACATACTGGTTATCATAATTCTTAACACTTCATCAAAATTTAAAAAATCATACAATTGTGTATGTTATCAGTCACCACAGCACCTAAAAGGCCAAACAAGGTCACTGACTTAGAATGTAATGTCAGTGATCTTTTGCTTAGAACAGAGATATAGGTTCAAGGCAGTTGCAAAAGGAGGTCTAGTGGCACTTTTGGGCACCAATCTTGAGTTTGATCTTGTCTGGCCTTAGCTGACTCAAAGGTTGTGACCCATGAATCTCAAGTTTTCAAACAAGTGAAGCCACATGCAGACCAACCCATCCTGTGAATTTGGTGTCTCTAACTCTTCAATTTTTATCTTAGGGTGGTCACAGTTGTCCCTCCCTCACTCCCAGCTGAGCAAAAGGCATTCTGCTGGCCACCCAGGCATGTGTTATGGCTTTCTCCTATTTGTAAACATATGACAGCTGCTAATTCTGCTATGACTTCTACCCATGGTCATTACCTTACTTATTTTCTTGACATGGTGCCAGGGTGCAAGCATTGTGCTTCTCATGACATGGTGCTCTCTCCACAGCTGCATAGGAATGAAGCAGTTTGTGGTGACAGAGTGACATACCTGCAATCTTCCTTCATCAGCTGCTATGTCTGCATTTTCCACTGAGGTGTTTGTTAAGAAGTTGAGTGACCTGAACAACACATCTCCCAGCATCCAAACCCTCTCACTCTGGCTCATCCACCATCGGAAACATGCGACCATGGTGGTCAAGGTGTGGAAGAAGGAGGTCATTAGAGGTGAGAAGTTTGGATCCAATTTTGTTTTTCTCTCAACCTAGATTAATGCCGTCGTCTTTGCTGATGCCCTCTGACCGTCCTGGGGATTATAAGAGCCTGATGCGTTCTTTGTGTGCTGCAATCTTTAAGCATATGTTCTGGTCTTGATTACATTGGATTGTCATTGTCTTGATATGACAACTTTGCACATAACTCCATATAATTTTTGCGTTGCAAATGCTGCATCTGATGAGGGGCTTGCAAAATGTATTGAAGGCTATTTGTTACATGACTTTTACATGCACGTTCTTCCCCATCCCAATAACCTTAAGGAGTAACAAGCCCAGACGACATTTCGTTGTGTTGGTTGATAACCAAGGCTTGCTGCTGACTTTAAAGTATGAGGCATCGTTTGACTCGCCGCCTCCACCCGACAGTGGCTGTGAAGAAGAAGCTCACACTTATGTACCTGGCGAATGACGTGATCCAGAACAGCAAGAAGAAAGGCGCCGAGTTTAACCAGGCCTTCGCGCCAGAATTGCCGGGCGTATACCGGCACCTTGGCGCTACCCCTCTGGACGAGAAGACGGAGCGTGGTGTGCTGCGGTTGCTGGAGGTCTGGCAGGAGCGTGCTGTCTTCACGGCTCTGCAGATCTCCGGATTCCGCTTGGCGTTTGGTGAGTGGCCGGCGGCTGGTCCGGCGTGCAAATGGGCTGGGACTCGCTCAGACGTCCGGCCTGTCGGTGGGCTGGACTGCCGGTGGTCCGGGACGGGGTGTCTATTGGGCCCGGTGAGCACCGTGTGAAGCTCACGTGGGAGCTGAGTGGCTGACGCCGACACGAGTCAGCGAAAGGGCTGGGCGCTGTCGGGAGGCGATTGTGTGGTACTCATCAGGCTCGAGTTGCGCCCCAGCGAGCTCACCAATGGCTTGCTTAAGCCCGACGAAGCAGTAAATTGCCTAGTTTTGGGAGCTTATAAAGAAGTTTTGCGATTCATTCCCGTAAATATCCTTTCCTGAAAATAACCGCAAGGCGATGAGTTGAAAACTAGTTTGTAAAATAGTGTTTAGGAATAGGCACTACCTTAAAAGCAACTTATTTATTACTTATCGCCGGCGACTTCTGCACGATGCGATATGTTCACTGCGTGTCGTTAACAAGGCGTCCCGCTGCTTCAGAGAGCGGTGGCAAGCCCAGTCCTGCGATGAGCCCGGACGGCCTGTTCAAGGAACCGCCGCCCAAGCGGAAGCGGCCGGTCAAGGACACAGTACCCGAGCAGCGCCGCCCCGCCGACGAGCGCGCCAAGCCTGAGCAGCGCAGAAAACACGAGGAGCGCAGAAAGCCGTCCGAGGAGCGCAGGAAGTCTTCTGAGGAGCGCAGAAAGCCCGAGGTCAAGGTGCGTGTCGGGCCAGGCCGCAGTGGCGCGAGGAGCGGCGTTATGGTGCGCAGCATTTGTGAACGCGGCGCGGAGGGCGGGGTAGAGGGGCCTTACTCATCCTGGGTTTTCGACACATTTTTTGGACCTGCCCTTTTAAAACAATTGTTTTCTTAATGGACCTGTCCTGTGGGGTTTGCTGTTATAATGCCGAATGTTTTCAAAAGAGAGATGATTAGCTTTGCAGCGGTGATATGACCAAGGGCCTCTCGGGTGCTTCTGTTGATGGCTTCCAAATTTCATAAATTCACTGGAAAATGGACTTCACGCAGGCATATTTAACATGCACCATGCTCGGGTTACTAAGACTTAAATGGGTGCGTTCAGGGCCGGCCTTTGATTACGTTGCACCTTTTTGGGTACTCTTCAACCTACCCTTGACTACGTACTGGTTATGTTTGGCGCCTTCTCCCCCTCCCCCTAGTTACGCTGCGGTAAACATAACGTCCCCGAAATATAACGTTTGCTCGGCCCTTATTGAACGAGAGGCGTAAAACAAGCACGTGTGTCACACCATACACTCCGGGCTGCAGTCTCGAAAAGAAAGCCTCAAGTTTGCACAAGTTCTGATGGATTTTCCGGATTATTGTACTTCATTCGAGTTTAAGACTGCAGTCAACAGTGTACAGCATAATATTGATGAGGATGCTCAGTCTCAGAGGGGTTTGCTGTCGATGAAAAGACGAGCATCCTGCTTTTTATGAGAGGAAACCAACGGAATCCGCTTTGACGGTTTTTAGACATGTTAACTGAGACTAAGCATGGTTTTCATGCACATCTAAGCGTGACGTTACGCGTTCCACCTTTCCCGTTTCGTGGCTTCGTTTCGGTTGCACTTCATCAACCCCTCTCACCGCCATGCGTGATGGAATGTATGGACAGCCATTCCTTCTCACCAGGAGGTGGAGGTGGAGGGACACAAGGAAGTGCATGTGATGCTGTCGTCACACTCGCCGGCGCGCGACCCACCCGAGCCAGCCGAGCTCATCAAGGCCCTGCAGGTGGGTATGAATTGACTGAACTCTCGCAGGTCTGTGTCTTCAGCAGGGATGGATCCAGGATTTCGTCAATTGGGGGGGGGGGGGGGGGTGGGGGTACGCAACATTGTGGTGCCCCGTAGAGTTTTGACTTCCCGCCCACCATTTAATTTTATGGTTGAAAGGATATGATGTATATGTATATATATATATATATATATATATATATATATATATGTATGTTAATATCTATAGGCAGTAAATCATCTCCTACACAAGTGTTGTTTTGGGCGCAAAAGGACCACTGCAGTCGACGCGCCCGAAAACTCCAATGAACAACAAGTGTTGTTTAAAACTTTGGTGTAGGTACATTTAATAGGCTTTTTCTGCACTCGTTCTAGTTTTCTTATTACGTTTCTGTTCGTCATTCAAACTAAAAAGTAACCCGCCCATGTTTGACATCTATTAGTTGGCCTAGCATTTCGGAATAACAGATTCCATTTCAAAGGTACGCAGATACAACGCACGAGCAACAAATATTTGATTACATGTTACGGTTAGATATAACGAATTAGGAATAAGTTTGCTTGTCAAATTATGTAGAGTGTAAGTCGGGTGATTGTCATTTGGGAGGCATAAGGACTCACGCGGCAATACGCGCGCTGAATAGCGAGATATACCATCTGTACTGATGGCAACGATCGTCCCTAAATAAGTTGAAGTGTGACTGAGGGGTTGGTTTATCATTTCAGTTACGCAGGCCATGTTTTGACCGTGACACTCTCCAGAGCATAACAGAACGATTATGTCATAATGCTGGTGTTTCTGGCAAGGTCGTCTCGGATGATATTCGGCCGTGATCTTTTCTCATGTGCTCTTTTGGAGCACTGTCAGCCAAGTACATTGTCAACCGCCGTGAAAGCGTGGTGATATGGACACCAACGTAGTTTGACTGCTTTATGGGTCCTCAATCTCCTATGTCGCTACAAAACTGGTTAACGACGTTGGTTCGTTTAAGGGGTTAGATTTGCCCGTGAGGTTATTTCTCGTGGTGAGTTGGGTGGCCTCTCTTTTTACAGTAGATGGCGAGCGTTACCTTGTCATCTTCGCTGACTGGCTTGACATTGTCATCTATTAATTTCCTTCAGGATGCCCTCGACGGTCTTATAGCTATCAGACATTTGATTCTCATAGTGATTCTCTCATAGTCTCATAGTGCAGATTGAATTTGGCTGATATGTGATGGCGTTCGTTTTTATCCATCGTGACATAAAGCCACTGATCTCATGGTCGATGGCGATGTTGAAGTAACCATTATTTACAGGAACTTGTTTGATGCGCTGCAGTTCGCTGCACACAGTGAATCTAAGTAGATCCAGTACATCCAGTAACCGTGCTCTGTACAATTTGACGATCGAAGTTATACCTAGCTGGTTATACCTAACTGTACCATGTAGTCATATACTCGTGGCCTGTATGTTGCATGTGTGTACCTTTGAACATGGAATATGTAATTCCAAAACGTCAGGCCAACCAACAGACGTCAAATATCGACCAGTTACTTTTTAGCCAGAATGATTAACAGAAAGCCGTAATAAGAAAAAAGCCGTGATAAGAAAACTTGATTAAGTGCAGAAAAAGCTTATTAGATACACCTATGCCAAGCTCTTCCGATATATATATATATATATATATATATATATATATATATATATATATATATGCAAATAAATATGCTAAAAATGTATGAGAAAGAAATATGCTAGAAAGCTAGGCGTGCTACTTTCGCACACATGTGAAACTTATTTATTCTCTCCAGGTCATAGTAAATCTTGTCATTTTAAGGCCAAGTATTCCGCAGAAACGGGCAAAATACACTCAAGTTGGGTGCTAAATGCCATCAAAATCAAGCATGAACTCGGTTCCTACCTTATTTACGGCCAGCCGGCTGGTGGATGTGATCAGCTGATGGCTGATGGCTATTGTAGTGTTTCCCTTCCTTTGATGATTACAAAATATCGGGCCGTCAAAATGTATTAAGAGCCTGACACACACCGGCTAGCATTGCACATTCGTAGCGCACATTAAGGAAGTTCCACATGTTGAATAGCCGAGGGAAATGCCACTACGTCTGTGGCACGTAAATACGTTCGACAATTGCACGTACAAATTCACCAGCGCATATCCGGCTACTGCTCTATGACTAAGGCACCAAGGCCAGTGGGGACGGAACCTGAGCGATCATGGCTACCGTGGGGGGTCAACAAAGAGGCTCCCGTCAGCAAGTATAGGGACCTCAGAGCGAGCGAGAAGAACGCAGGACCAACGTGATGGGCCCCTGTACGACCGCTAGTACCCCGTCAGACTGACGTGTAGGGCCCCGGCCAGAGCGCAGGGCCTTTCGGACGAAGGAAATTACTGAAGACCATTGTAATGAATTAATGACCCCGTGCGACCAAGAGTGCTCGGGCAGGTTAACAGAAAATGCCGCGATGGGAGTGAGGATTCCTCCGCAAATAGGATTAAAGGAAGAGAGCTCTAGATCAAAGTAGACGGTTGCGGAGCACCGTTCGGCTCGATACCTTACGTTACATGAACCGCAGTACGAGGCTCTCCAGTACGAGGCTCTCCGAGTAAGGGGAAAGAATCCGGTACTAATGTGAAGGACCCCTGAGGAACTTAATGTACGATGGCATATGGGGCCCCGGAAAAAAACGCACAGAGCATTTCGGTTGAATAGGAAGAGTATCCTGATCGATCAAGAGTGCCCAGGAATGTAAGCAGATAGCGTCCCAACATCAGCGTAGGGCCCTTCAACAAAATGCAGAGATCAAGAGCAACGTGAAAGGCTTCTAAGCGATCAGAATGCCCCGACAAGTGCAAATATGGGGCCCGGGCAACAGCGTAAGGCCTCTAGACAGCGTAATGAGTCTCATTTAGTCAACATGCTCCTCAAAACGTCATTGTTTGATTGCGTCAACTTGCCGTGCACGGCATTGATTGAGAGCCAATTGACGGTTGTTATATCTGGAAATTGTGCACACCAGCACCACAGAGCTGAGAACTGCACTGAATGATCTTCAAGATGCCTATCTCAGTTCAAATCCTCATGCAAGTGTGGACCCCCCTTAAAGTCGATGCGTGTGTGCTGTCCAAACCATGCGTTTACGTAAGTTAACATTTCAAGGAAATAATCGGGGTCAGAAAAGGGCATTATCACAAGCATCTGATATTCACATCAAGTGTATCCCGCTTCGTCAACCCTTGCTGTCCAGAGGTCCAATTCGTATAAAAGTACGCTAGTTTTACATGTCGTTCGTGTGCACACGTGACGCTGGCTCGCCACCTGACCTCTGCCTTCGCGCATGTCGGCCAGGACCTGGAGAACTCTGCGTCAGCGGACGCAGCCACACGGGAGAAAATATCCGGCCTGCCACCGGAGGTGTCCGACACGGCCATGCTTGCCCGGCTACAAGGTACGTCTGTGATCTGCCTCCAGGCGACGAACACCTGCGACATTACTGCCGAAACGGTGGAATGTGGGCAGGCTTCAGGTTTTTTTGCATGGGAGTGGCTGAACTTTGAGGCGCTGTCCGTTGGTGGTGTGCTCGGCCTGGGGAGGAGGGGGTAAGAATGCCGTGGTATATGGGTAGGTGCGTATGCCTCAATCGGAGAAGGGATTGTATTGAGTGTCTCTTCCCTATCTGGGTTCCCGCACAGGGTGTTTGGTGATGGTCCTACCATCCAACGTTGCATGTCCGGCAATTCTCTGTCAAGTGCGATCCTGGTAAACACCTGCCAAAGCCCATCGCCGTCGATGCCCTGCTGGGTCCTCACCCCACGCGGCGCGTGCCCCGCGCGCGCGGCGGGCCAGCGTCCGGCTCAGACGCCCGCCTGTGGTGGCCCGGCAGACCGCGGCTCCGGTCACCGGCTGCTGACCCAGGTGTCGGAGGCGCTCGACCTCCTCACCGACTACAACAGCCGGCTGGCCAGCGAGATGGACGAGCGCAAGCGCGTCTCGCGACTCTTGCAGGACTTCACGCAGAGCCAGAAGGACCTGCTCGCCCAGGCCGAGCACACGCTGGAGGTGAGGTGCCGCAGGCGCCGAGGTTCGCCACAGTGGAATGGATCCGCTCTGTCACTCTTCATTATTGTGCTAGGTGGTGTGGTAAAGGCGTTACGTGGGCAGCCACTGCCAGGATGTATCTTCGTGTCTTCGTTTTTATGTTCATCGATTTTTAAAGCAATCTGAATGGCAGATGGCCGAGTGTGGCTCAGTACGATAAAGGGAGGTCTGAAGGCCAGTATGGTGCTCACTTTTCCTGTATGCACGTAATATGTGCGTATTGGCGATGAGACTCCTGGAAAACGAACTCCTCCGGTAGTTGTTTCTGTGCGATGTCTGGTGGCATCAACGTGTGTAGGGGCAGGCGAATTTTGTAATCCTATGTGGCGTGAAGGACAATGCGTGAAATCATGCTTCAAATCATGATCGTAACGCCAGCCGACTTAAGTAACGCCAGTGCTCACGGACGCCCCCGTCCACTTAATTGCTCTAGACCACTGTCTTCCCCCTCACAGGAGTACCGGCACAAACTAGAGAAGGTTTATCTGGTGCGGGAGGAGCTCAAGTCGCACATCCAGAACCTGCCCGACATCAGTAAACTGCCCAACGTCACAGGCGCCTTCGCGCCTCTGCCATCTGCCGGCGATTTATTCAGTTAGTAGTGAGCGCCACGGCTGCCGCAGCGCTGGCGTCGCCCCAGGGGTGCTAACAGGGCAGGTGGCACCGCCACTGGTGTCAGTGCTATGTTGGCTGCTGCTTGTTTGACTATTGTAAGATCTCGTGCTGTACGAACTCCGGAGATGGTCAGGCGTCCACCGAACAGCGAGGTGAACGCGCATCCCGTCTCGTCCCGAACGGTGAGGACGCCAGCGAGTTTACACGTCGGCTTGGCGGCCTCGGGACGCCGCCGCGTGGAGCATATCGTGCCCACTGTACCGACGCTCTTCGTCCCGTCGTGCGTTGGGAAACGCTTCGCAGCGCACACCACGATGACATCACAAGCGGATCGACACACATCTCTGGATGGTGCGAGTGTTTGTTGGCTGTTGCAGTTCGGAGTAGCGTAAGCGAACGTACTCTAGCCTGTGTAATTTCATTGCCCATTCGCCCCGCCCCTCCCCATCTCTGAGGTCAGTATTGTGTCGTTGCGCCATCTAGAACTGAGACGCCCTGGCGTTGGTGTGATGGCGTCGGCGTGATTCCGCTGACCGGGTTGACGCGGAGTGGTGGCCGGCCATGGCGGCAGACGCTGTCGGTAATTACCCTGCCAGACACTGTTCTGTCGTCGCGATCGGCGTGTCGCGGTGGCAGCTGAGTGCATACATGTGCCTGTCGGATGACCTGAGACCAGGTCGCGTGGCATGCGCTCGCGGGTGACGAAGGGGCTTTAGTCCACGCACCTCGGTGACGAGGATGGGCCAGGGGCGACCACCGCGAGCGCTCGCGTCTGACGGGCTGTGAGCGATGGCAAGGAGCGCCGGAGCTACTGACATGCCGTTATGCCCAGAGGGGGAGTGAGTAGGCAGATTCGTATCGCCAGGCGTGGAGGCCCGCTGCCCCTCGGCGTTCAGCCAGAATGGTATCTGACACGGACGTGTCTGTCTTTGGAAGGCATGGTGTGAGGCCGTTGGAGGACCTGGGAGTTTATGCAAGCCTGTGTACCGCACGCACTGAAATGTTACCCGCTTCGTCACTCCTTGTCCTGATCTTGACGGATGCTTTCGAGATATTCCGGATCTGTCGTGCCGTGGAACGGTGGAATTAGACGTTTTGTACTGCTACAGCGTGACTTTGTGTTAACCTAGTCTAGGGCCATCAGCGTTTGGTACCGGACTGAATACAGCTGGAAGGATGGTGGCCGTCGTGCATCCAATGCAGAATGGCGCGGCGTCGCGCCGTCATCTGTCATCACTCGACTCCAGCTGCAAAGCCCATCACGCGCCGACTGACTCGCTCGGGTGTCGCGCGTCATTTCAGCGAGTCCTAACGGACAAGTGGGGCAGCTCCGCCGGCGCATGTTCGTCCGTCAGAAGATTGGCCTTGAGCAGAATTGTAATCGGTATCGCTCACGAGGGCGCCCCCGCTTGTTAGCCTTCTTATCGTCCCTGCGCCCACGACGCGTCCGTGTAGTCGAGAGTCGCCACGCACACCAAGCTGTTGGAACGCCCGAACGGCCGCAGCCACACCGCCCACGGGCGGAAAACGTCGACTGAGCGGCTCGCTGATCGTGCATCGTGTATTAGCGTCTCACCTCACCAGGGGTACAGGGACGGGCGCGCCACACCATTGGTGTCCGCTGCGCTACCGTGGAACAGAGGGACATGCGGTGCCGCAGCCGGCGGCCGGCACGGCGCTCAGTATGGAGCAGAGTTGCCGGGGTTCAGGGGAAGGCAGCGGGCTGCGATTCGTTGGGGAGGGCTGATGGCTCGGGACGCGAGAAGTGGCCCTCTCAGCGCCGACCGGGCCCGTCGGCTCATCGCAGCGTAAGCTGTGGCTTTCGAGCCGGCCAGCCAGCTGGTCACTGACTGAGTCGGCCTGGTTTAGAGACGAGCCGGACATACGCTCCCGTCATCACCCTAAAATGGGGATTGTTTTGGTCCGGATCGGGATGCTGAGCAGGAAGCCCTAGGAGGGACGGTGGCGGGTCCGGGAACTGGGCACGCGGGAGTGACCGGGCCGGTGATGGCGAACGTACAACAACGCACTAACTAACAATTAACATTGCCGGCACGCGCGTTTCACAAAAATAGCGCATCTCTGCAGGGGCGTCACATGTCGCCAACCGCCAACGCGGGGCAGCATATACATCCGGCAGCACAAGACCAGGGGCGTCGCGTGACCCCGGCCTAGGACGGCACGGGATCGGCACTTCCCGTCGGCTGCCGGCCGGGACAGTGGGCCCAGCCCGGGGCCGCCCCGCCGGCGGGCCAGCGTGTGGGCACACCGTGGACGCGCGCACGACAAAACACGGCGGCGCCATGGGCGAGCTGGAACCTGACAGAGCGCGCCCAGCTTGACTAGAATCCGACTGGGCCTGGCCGGCGGTAGCGGAAATTCGTTGTTCAGATCCCCGACGCGCAGACGGACTGCCTGCGCCACCGTCGCAGCCAGGTCCGCGGCTTGGCCCCAGTCCAAGACACGTGCTGCGCCGCGCCCGCATCGCGTCGGGTCAGCAGGCGGCCACGGACAACGGGCCACGCCCCCCCCCCCCCCCCACACACACACAAGATCGGCGGTCAGGCTCCAGGCAGCACCCTCCACTGCCGACCCCGCGCCCAATCCGCTGCCACCGGCACGGCACGCTCCGTGGCCTGGCTTTCGCCTATGCCGCCAGCGTCTCAGTCTCACGAGCCAGCTCAAAATATTATGCGTAATATGCAGTACTAAAACCTACGCGGCGGCTAAACAGACCGATTTGAGCCCACCATACGCCGGCACTGCCCGGTGGCGAACGCACGGCGGCACCGGCTAGCCGGCGCGGCGCAGCGCGCGGGCCCACTCCTTATTGCCCTGTACAAAATAGTCTCTGACGTCAACGGGGTCGGGCGGCGCGTGGGCGCACACGGGGACGAAGCCCCGCGCGTATCACATCGATCCCTCGGCACTGCTGGCACCCGGCGATGTCTTCCACTGCCATGTGTCCACAGCAAGGTGTGCGGAGCCAGCGGGAGCCGGTCACCGCAGCACGCGCCGCCGCTACCTTCGTGGCCGCGAGATCAGACGGCCGGCGCCCCACAGGGCGACCGTGCGCCGCGTCTTTCCGCGCGAGAAAGCTCAAGGTCGGACGCCGTGAAACTCCATTTGGCTCGCATGGTCGACAATGGCAACCAAGAACAATTTTACCCGCAACTTCAATATTTCGGAGAGTTTAACGGTTCGATTCGCGAAGAAAACGCCTCTCTTCTGGACGGTTGAGTGGCGACAACGGCCGTGCAGTTGCCTCCCATAGTCACGCGGCGTATTCTACTAATCTGCGAATTTCCCGAAAGTTAACAAATAAGCAGTTCCTTCCCCAGCATCAGCCGCTTCTTCACAAGCTCGCCCGCTCAACGACAAACTTCACGCAAGGCGACGTACAAAACAGCCTCGATAAAGCCCACGCCACATTCCGACAATGCCCTTCGATTTGGCGATCACTGGCAGACGTTAGCGGCGGCACAGCTTAGAAGTCCACACACCGCCGGGGCTGTGTGCCACCTGAAGGCTCGTGCCCGCCAAAGGTCAGCACAGGTCACAGGTCACAGGTCACAGATCGGCGGCCGGCGGTCAGTCGCCAGGGTGTTCGGGGCATGTTCGGTTCACCTTGAACCAGTCGTCAATGCACCTGTCGGCAGGGTCACAGGTCAGGTTTGCGGCGGAGAGGCCCAAGACGGAAGCTATCAAGCTAAGGGGAAGCGACGGCCAGCAGGGCGCCAATGCGGCGTCGTCTCTGGGCGGGCACTGTGGTCACAACAGCTCATCCTGACCCTCTAATGAATAAGTAGGTATCTGGTAGGTCATCTGCCAAAGCATCTAGGACAAAGACACCCACAGGCTGCCTTGTACGAACAGACTTGGCATTGATGCTCGTCACTGTTTGACGCGGCCATAACCATGAAGCAGCTGGTGATCGGCACAGAGGATCGGCACACATCCCTTCGTCGAACGATTTTTGTGAACTCGTGGGATACAATTTTGGGTCCGGCATGAGATGTTCTAGGTACCAGTATGTCACGTGATCCAAATCTTAATCCCCCCCCCCCCAGATCTAGTGCGACTTTAAAGGGAGTGTTTCACGTTTGAAGATATTAGAACAAACATAAGATGGACGAAACAAGCTCACTTATAACTATCGGTACACTGTTTAAGTGGAACAGACTGTTCCAGACAGCACAATTCTCCGTTTGGTAAATATACTCTTCAATGCGTCATGATTTGACTACGTCATCGCTCCTTGTACGGCATTGATTGAGGGTCAATTGGCAGCTGTTATATCTGGAAATCGTGCTCATGAACGCCAGATATGAACGCCTTGACAACTATATCCTTGACAACTATATTTTTAGCCTTGATCGCCGAATGCCTTATGGAATTGCATGATCTGAAGAAGGTTGTTTATGACATCATGAATGTCAAGGTGACTTTGAAATACTCTCTCCGACATGCCTTTCCTCCTCGCGGGCGTGTGGCTCAGAAACTACATGGGGTTAGGTCTTAACAAGGGCAGAATTGTGAACAGCACCGAAATGTCTTTAATATGGCCATTTCAGTTCAAAATCCCATACAAATATAAAACACTCCCTTTTAACGGTCGAAATGAGACTTAACCGTCTCTCAGCCGCCTTAACTTGTACTCAGCTCAGCTTGATACTTGTCGGGAGTCATCATAACCATATAAGCTCGCTAATCGCATTCAACAGAATGGTGAATAATCATTTTGAGCTAAATCGATTTGAGATAAACCAATAAACCTCTCCTCACCTGAGAGAGTTCCTGCTGCCCGCCTCCCATCCTTAAATCCCATTAGTTAGGAAAGCAAGGAAAGTTTCTTGGGCACTCTAATATTTATGAAACACCGCTACCCAACATCAAATCTCAACGCGAGGAGGGGGCTTACGGGGAGGGGTATGCTCCCCCTATGCCCCCCCCCCCCAGCATCGGGTCCTGACGACTGCGGGCAGCAGCGTAAGCCCGCTGGCGTCAGAGGGGACCGGCCAACCTACCTCTTGTGGTATATGCAGAGGCAGGGAAGCCGGGCGATCGTCTGCCCCTGCTCCAGTTCCTCCAGGCAGATGACACACTCGCCCTTGTCCTCGGTCAGCACGTCCTCTGAGAGCAGATGGGCTATAGGTCAGGGCTCACGGTGGCAACACCAGCGCGGCCACACGGCCCGGTGGCCACACCTGGGCTATAGGTCAGGGCTCACGGTGGCAGCACCAGCGCGGCCAAACGGTGGTCAGCGGTGGTGGTGGTGATTTAGTGCTTAAGGGCGGGTCGGCATCGGGACCATTTTGCGCCCATTCGATGACCGTTAACTAAATCTGCGACGTAGCGATAACTGTGTTGTCAACTAATACCGGGCGGCATCACTGGAACACTTACACTGAGGGGTGAGTGAAAATAGTGTTAAAGTCAATGTGTGCTAAAAATGCGAGTATATCTCCACGTTCATAACATGGGTCTCGGCCGATACACCGATGAAGGGGCGCTGGAGGAAAAAATCGTCACCTTCCTGTCTCAGGGCGCCGGCATAAGACGAGGACATGTTCTACAGGCAACCGGTCCCCACATCTGTCACGCCGTGGCACATCCTTACGCGTCAAGTAAAACGAGCGTGTTGCATGTGTACGACCCAACCAAAGCCTACAAAGGGCGACTTCCTGGAAGCGGCTTCGGCGATGGGAAGATTCCCAATCACCCATTTGGGGCCTGATTTCCTTGAAAACGTTAAGATGTTGGTCGAACTTGTTCTGCCACGTATCGCGGACATATTTGGAAATGACCGACTTCAGGTACAAAGCGGGTGCACAAGTTGGTATTGGTTTTCTCTCACACGCCGCAGCTTTCTCGTTTCCCATTGTCCCTATGTGGCTGGGGATCCACACAAATGTGATACAGCAGGAAGTTTTTCCCGGCCACTCCAGTTCCTCCCAAATTGAGCGCGTCAGAAATGAGTGGTTACGCGAGATCGCCGTGGGGGCTAATGATACAAGTGCACTAAGCGAGTCGGTCAGAATGACTGCATCCCTTTCAGGGCGATAAGTAACGTACTAAAGTGCTGCTAAAATAGTAAACAGTTCTGAGGAAAAACTGGCATGTGATGCGTTAGGCAAAGACCTACGGTGTGATCATCGCAAGCAAATGCGCAACCCGTTCCTGTCGAGCCCTTGGACCCATCAGTAGATACTTGTAATGAGTCAACGTATTGTGAGATCCGTTTCAACGAATAATTCAGCGACTCTCGCGGTGAAGTGCCACTTTTACGGTGCTAACAAAGTTTCAAATCATACTTCAGACTCAGACGTCTCAACGGAGCTGGGTCCCGAAGAGTGTGCGGTGCAATGTCATCAAGCGTAATATCCGCCTCGTCCAACCAGCCCCGGACGCGCAGACACATCGGCCGCGCTGACGTGGGCCGTTCACTCAAGAAAGAACTGATTAACGTCTGAGAGAAGATGAACTCAAAGGTTGGATGATCCGGAAATTGTAAAACCTTTGTAGCGTAACTTAAAGTAGGTCGTTGTCTCCTAAGAGGCAAAGGCGGTTCATTCGCTCCCACAAGCAAGTTTCTTGTCCGGGTCGTACGAAACGCCCCAATGGCTACACGAGCACATGCATGGTGGATTGTGTCCAAAACCTGCTTCGGAGATGTAGGAGCACTATCGTAGGCAGGGCTAGCGTAATCGATGACCGATCGAATTAAAGCTCTATACAAGTTCAACAGGGCGCATCTATCGGCCCCAAAGGTCATACGGCATAATACTTTCATGAGGTTCATGCGCTTTAGGCACTTAATCTTGATCATCTTAAAGTGTTGCTTACACGTGAGCCCACGGTCAAACGTGAGGCCCAGGAAACAGATTTCATTACATCCTGGGATATCGGCACTATGGAGTCGCAACTCCGGATCTTTGCAGTCTACTCCGTGAGCAGAAGTGCATACACTTAGTCTTGGTGGTCGAAAACTTTAAACCATTCTTTAGGCTCCACTCAGTTAGTCGAATGAGGCATAACTGAAGCTGCCTCTCTGCAGACGTCATTGCGGATGCTGTACGCCAGCAGCAAAGTCGTCCACAAACAGTGACCGACTAATCGTGGATGGCAGACAGTCGGCGATATCATCGACCATCAGCGCAAACAGGGTTACGCCAAGGACGCTCCCTTGGGGAACACCGCTCTCTTGTGCGTAGCGGTCAGATAGCATGCCACCCACTCGGACGCGGAAAAATCGACGCCGTAAAAAGTTTTCAATGTCATGTGACCTAGAAGTCCACACTTGTGTACTTGTACTTTCAATGTCATGTCAAAGGATATGGCTATCGTGTGACGTCTTCGTTTAACAGAATGTCGCATAGCTGCGTCTAAAATCGTTAAGTGGTCAACACTGAATCGGTTCTTCCGAAACCCGCATTGCACTTTAGAAAGACAACCGTGAGTTTCAAGATACCACATGAGACAATCACTCACTATTCTTTCTAGTACTTTGCATAGGGCTGAAGTCAGCGAAATCGGGCGGTAGTGCGGTGGGTCGGAACCATCCTTTCCGGGCTTCTGTATCGGGACTATAATGGCCTCCCGCCACGACTCCGGGAAGTCATCATGCAACCATATGTAGTTGGAAAGTGAGAGTAAGGCATGGGGGGACTCCTTTAGGTGACTGAACATATCATTGTGGACTTCATCCAGTCCAGGGGACACACTCTTAGCTCTCTTAAGAGCAGTGCAGAGCTCCATGACAGTGAATCGTTGGTTGTACCCATAACTCTCTGAGTAAGGAATTCTAAAATTGATTGCCGTCTTCTCACTCTGTTCCTTGTAACGAGTAAAGCGTGGGCCGTCTGTTTCATGTCGGCACCTTTCTGCAAATGCGAGGCCTATGTTGTTGGACACTTCCCGTGTGATCAATAGCGTGATTTCCGCCGCTTTCAACACCGGAACTGCAGTAAATACGCTCCTACCGGAAATGCGACTAACTCGCTGCCACACTGCACTCAGTGGGGATGTAACGATTTAAACCATTCGCATATTCCCTCCATAATGCACCTTTGCCTCGCGCATTGTGCGTTTCGCCAATGCTCTGGCCTTTTTGAAAGCGATGGTGTTGGTTGTTGCAGGCGCGCTTGAAAACCTTGAACGCTGGCCTCCGCTTAATAATTGCCGCCTTGCAGTCCTCCGACCACCAGGGGACAGGGATCCTGAGCGGCTCGGGTGATGTCAAGGGAATGCAAGACATTGCAATGTCGACAATTGTGGATGTCACTTGTTGTGTAAGAGATGTTGCATTGTCGCCCTCGGTCGGCTGCATTCTAGCATGACGCTCGTCGGTAAACCTTTGCCAGTTGGCACGTCGAACGTTCCAGCAGTCCACACGTAGTGCTCTCAACGGCCCAAGACAACCGATAGAAAAGGGACGAGGAACAGATAGAAGGATCTATCGCTGAAGTGGCGCTGGACGGCAGAGATATATGGGTATGCCGGCCGGTGTTAAGAACAAAAAGACTATTTGAATTCAGCAAACATTCGAGATGTCGGCCTCGGCGGCTTGTGTAACTGCAGCCCCACGAAGGGCTATGGGAGTTGAAGTCATCTAGCAGCAAGAGCGGCGATGGGAGATGATGGAAGATAGACTGTAATATCGAGTCCGGTACTTCCTCAGCGGAAGGGAGGTAGATAGAACAGACAGTCAGCCTCAGCGACCCAAGGTCGAAGACGACGGCAACAGCTTGACGGTCGGTGTTAAGACTTACAGGAGGATAGGGTATATTGTGATGAACTAAAACCGCCACCCCACCATGGGCGATCGTGCCAGTTATCACGCCATTCCGAAAGAAAATGTAGCATTTGATGTTAATGTGAGTGTCATTAGATGTCTTTGTTTCTTGCAAGCATGTCACAGCCGGGTTACGATTAGAAAAGTGTGTGAAGGCCTGACACGTTGACCCCCAAGCCATGTATGTTCCATTGTAAAAATGTCGGTGGCATACTAGATATGCTTGTATGTGGGGTGTACGGTTAAGATCCATCGGTATAGCTTGCATGTGCTTTAAACGTTCACATAGGATTTCGCACTAAACGAATCTCCTGACGACGCTCTACTTCAGTGGAGCTAAGCCGGACCCCTGACCGAGCCTTGGGCCTTCCACCGTTGGTAGGCGACGTCGGCCAAGGAAGGGCACGCTTTGTCGCACGACCTGCCGCCGGGGACTGCGGGGTAGGCCGACCCGACCCCGCGTCTCCAAGTGGAGGAATGGTAGGCGGGCCCACTGACCCTCCCGATGAGTGGGGCGGAGTCGATAGCGGGAGCCGGCCCCCTGCCCGCGGTGCAGAAGCCGACCTGGCGGCGCGCCCTGCAGGTCCGAAGTCCACAGAACCCGGACGAACACCAGTTTCAGAAGGGCGGCTCCAGGAGGGAGCGACGACTGGGGGATGCCGAACCTTGTCCAGCTCTCGTGAGCCGGGAGGACCGGCGCTCCCGGCAGGGCCACTAGCTGGGGAGCCAGAGGGGGTCAGCTCTCGTAGCGCCGCTGTACCAGTGAGGACAGATCCCGTCGTAGCTGGTATGGATGGAGGGGGAGATGGAGCCCGGGAGGGCGTGTATTTAGCACGGGTTGGGCTGGGGTGCGATGATGGGGGGGCGAAGTCCACGGTCTCGCTGGACCGCGGTCCGTGCCCCGTTCCCGGCTCGCACCCTAGTCCCGGTTCTCTGGCCGCTCCACCAGGGGGTTCCAATCCCCTAGGTTGAGCTTCTCTGGCAGCGGCCAATGCCGCAGGTGAATCCTTTTTCGAAGAATCCGACTTCCGGGACGACGGGGCAGCAGGGCCAGTTGGTACAAGTGCGCTTAGAATCAGCTGTACAAACTCGCCTACAGTCATGCCTTTGAAATCATCGAGTCGATCCACTTTCAGTGTCTCGTCGGCTACAGCTGTTCATTGGACTAAATTTATTGCCGGTTTTTAGTAAGGGCGTCTTTGTATGTCCTTGTGGTGGTCGCATCGTTGTGTCGGCGTTGGGCCTCCCGAAACGAGGCTCCTTCCTCCACCTTGAGGTTCAGGACAGCTTTCTCTGACAGGGACTGACAGTTACGACATGACGCTTCATGACCCTGACC